TGCTTATATTATTATATTAAGAGTATGTATTTTTATTAGTGTATATCGCTGAGAGGTCATTTTTCTCAGTGAACCAGGTTGTTTATCACTCAAAATCTTCGGTTCGGAGTTGGGACACCGAACATCAAAGGATCCGACGTTAATGTCGCTTCTATGTGGTAGATATTCTCGGTCCATGCCATCTTCTTCTTTTGATATTTTTCTTTCGGTGCATTTGATCAACACCGTAATTTTTCCTAGGTATTTGTTCTTAGTCCTGGGTTAGCAAGGTGGGGGCTACAAAACTCAGGGAAAACTAATAATCTCATTTTGTAAAAAGGTATTTACAATGTTCCCAACGACGAATAATACTTACTATATGAAAGTATTGCATATACTTGAAGTAAAACATTATCGAATACACATAAATTTACTTATCGGTTAACTTGCCAATTTTAAGTCTTAATTTCCCATACTTTTGTTACTTGAGATTTCATGGAAGCTGAATATTCAACGTAAATGACAAAAATGTTAGTGACTATGATAGAATAAAAATAATCAAATAATGAGATAACCTGTTTTATTATTTTGATAAATTTTCTGTTGATAAAATTGTAAATGTTCCTTTCTTGATGGTGCGACTTGAGAAAATAAAACCAATTTTAATAAATAATTGTTTTTATTTAGAGGGATTGTCCCAGCTTTCTATACAAATTTCTGTTAAATAAATGAAATATGTAAATAAGTGACATAAATAAAAAATATATTAATATGTAACTAGAAAATAACATATTCAACAATTAGTATCAACATTTAAGTAAATAAAACATGACTATTAGATGTAATTGGCACCTTGAGAAGATCCTGTATTTATTCCTAACTCTGTGCAGAACCGTATGTTCCTGGAGGTGGTCTATAAAGCTTGGGAAATGCTAATAGTTGCATAGAGTTGAAAGCGTATTTACTGATGCCAATATTCTTCAAAGTATTTTCTCTTCGGCATCCCTCGCTGTAAAAAAACTCACTTATACTGGCGGAACTGAAATCTTAAGGCACTATGGTCCAATTGTGTATATAAAATGCTGACAAGTTAAAATGATTCATGATCATTTTATACTCATTTATTACTCTTATATCAAGCAGACTGACGGGTGGAGTTTTTAAATAACTTACCTCCTCAAACAGTCCAATGCTTTCTGAAATTCGTGTTCAGCTAAATGGTATTCGTCGGCTAGGATTAAACATTCCTCCAGAGTTATTGACATACCAGTCCTGTCTTTGGCACTTTTACAACTTGTGAATCTTATTCCTGTAAAAATGACAAATGTAAATTTTCATTTTTTGTTTGATTCACTGCAGTTCTACAGTTTTAATAACTGAGATTACACCCAAAAAAAGCATTATATGCTTACGTCAGTTAATTTTTAATGCTGAAAAGTAAACAAATTGTGGGTTCGATGAAACCGTTTTATTCAATTATGTATGATACTACTGTGTTCAAAAATAAGGCGAATTTTCATTTTTCTCAAAATTTATTTATTCATTTATATATATTTATTTATTTATCCATTCAAAGTTGTCCTCCTCAAATATAATACACTTATGCCAGCGTTTATCCAATCCTCAAAGCACTTCTGATATGCACTTTTTGGTATTTTTTTAAACTTTCTCAGGTATTCAGTTTTCATCTCCTTAATCGTCGCAAAACGCCGTCCTTTCATGGATCTCTTCAATCTTGGGATAAGGAAAAAGTCGCAGGGGGAAAATTTTGTGAAAATCATCAATCAACTAAGAGAGGAATCATCAAGACTCTAGTAGACCGTGCTTTTGGGCTCTGTAATACAAAGGAAGGTCTCGAGAAGGAACTAGGCATTATCAAAAATGACCTTCAACAGAATGGCCACTCCAAAGTGATGGTGGAACAGACTTTGGCTAAAAGACAGCAAGAGCCTCACAAGGAAGAGAAGCCGCCACAACCAGTACTTGTACTTCCCTACATCAGAGGATTGTCGAAAAGGATGAGAAGAATTGAGTCCAAGTATAATATCAGAACCTACTTCAGATCTGGTAACACTATCGTAGCAGCCTAAGGAAAACCAGGCCACCAAACGCGGACTGCGATTCCAAGAATTGCATTTACTGGATACCCTGCGAGTACGGAGAATCATACATCAGTGAAACTAAGAGGCCATTGAAAGTTCGAATTGCCGAGTACAAGAAACACACACAGCGAGGAGAAACCAGCAAATCAGGAATAGCAGAGCATGTTTGAACTCATCAACATAACATCAAGTGGCCTCAAGCTGAAATCATCCACAAGGAGGAACACTGGTTTAGAAGAAAATTCAAAGAAGCTGCATATATATTGACCAACAAAGAATTTAGCCAAGCTAGCGTAGAGATACGCAACATATTGCAACCTATAATCAAGCGGAACACGACCAACTCCCGACAAACGGTCAGCTTCCGCTAAAGCCGAAGAAGCGGAGAGAAGATAGATGAAAGCACTCGACTGACCGATAGTCAAATCTCGGAGGAAGTCCGAAGTCCAGTCATCACCTAAAACTTTTTCAAGTAACTTGGCTTGGAATCTTTCAATTTTCAATTCTTGTTAATAATATTCAATTTTCATTTCTTGTTAATAGTTCAATTTTTAATTGTTGCTTGTATTTTGTTTCATTGTAATTTCAGTTTTTTTGCTCAATATAACTGTTATTTTTTAGCTCATCTTTTGAATTTTCATAGATTTGTTTCAGATATTTCAAATTAATTTATATCATGGAAGTCCAAACTAATGAAATGCGCCACGAAACATTGTCAACCACCAAAAAAGCTAACTGATTGTGTGTGATTCTTTTTTCAGTCCACATAAAAAAGTAAAATTGGTAAAGGTTTCTAGATGAAATTCCAGAATAAAAATATAAACGCCGTCATGGACAACTTGAAAAGCAGCAATGAAAAAGTGTTTTTTGTTTTTCGATACATCCTTGAATAATGTCAGAGAAACTTTGAAGATTGCTAGATTTCTGTTTCTGATATTTGTGAAAGTAATAGGAATGTACAAAATTTTACAATGTCATTTAAATGAGCTCCGAAGTTTTATACTACTCACCGTTAATTTGCCTACATATTTGTGCAGCTAAATGTAATATCTCGACATTTTTGGCTTTGGAACTATGTACAGATGTCCTAAGATTTTCTATCAAATCGTTCAGCGATCTCAGCTGGGGCGAGCAAGCAGACATCCTGCTGGCGAACGCATTTTTATCTGGAATATTCAGTTTCCTATATCTCAAATAATACTCATTCAGCCTCTCAAAATTGTCTACGTTAGACCTCTCCTGTGGCCTAGTGGCGCCTATACCTTCAGCTATAGTCGCCATTTCATTGATTCCTATGTTGAAAAACACTGGTGTAACATGAAATGATAGTGTCTGTCTAGTGGGAATCAAGCTGTACACTGTGTCAGGAACCGGAAGAGAAACTGTGAGGGAATTTCTCGTTCCACTGACTTTTGGATTCGGATGCGGTTCGGTGGCTGGGCTAGGGCTCCTCACCAGAATGAATAATACTGTCCTCAAATCTTCAATCGCTACGGACATGTCGCCCCACATGTCTATCTCGTTTCCGTAGTAGCTCAGCAGACCTTCGAAAGAAGCCAAAGGTCCCAGAGCGTTCAACATGGCCACAAATGCTGGATCTGGTTTGTGACACCATAGACGGGTCATTAAACCCGCCACCAAAGATGTCAACTGAAAAGATTAAAAAACGTTAACATAAGGATTAAATAGGTAATTTTATGGGTCAATGAATTCCTAGCACAATTCGAGAAAAAAAGCGTGATAAAAAAAAGGATATTCAATATCATAACATTGAAGCAATAATGCATCAACAATCATTAACAATACAAATCAGGGATACATTGAAATTACTTAAAGTAATTTTAACCTTAGTAATATGTGAATGAATGCTGTAAAATTACAAGTCTCGAGTTTCAAACAGAATTATTGTATTCTGTACCATTGTATTTTTGTACCATTTCTTGGTATAAAAATATCGTTCTTGCTGGAAAATATTCAGGAGAAAGCCGGAAATTCGATAAGTTTACTGGTTCCGTTGGATGATGAAAACCTCCCAGATAATTTCTGGCAATTCCGATCGTTATCCATAGTACCCGCGATAGCGTAGCAATGACGTACACCACCTCGTCAGAGTTGAAGATAGGGAACGTGTGTGGTGGAGCGCGATTCAACATGCCTTCATCCGAGCCACCAAGCGAAACTAGCAGCAGAGAAACGAGCCGAAGCCGAACAGTCGAAACCAACCGAGCTACACCGAGAACCGCCGACTGGACTCGGAAGAAGCGAGAGTAACCAAGTTGACTGCAGCCTATGCCGACCGACCGAGCGAGCCATCAGAGCAGAGTTCTGAATCATACAAAGTAGGAAACAAACGTACGTAGGTAATAATAATAATTATAGTAATTGCTTGTCTGCCGCCGTTCGAGATCGCGTCGCGACGCGTCGGGAGTGTGTCTAGCCATTTACTAGTATCGTCACGCGGCTCTTAAGTTTTCCGATGTGGTTGTGGTTATCATCATTTGGATCATCTGTGCGAAACTTCTTTCCGCGTTTCCGGTCCTTTGTGGTATTCTCAACTTGGACTACCTTTAAATCACTCTTCCCTTCTTGCATTTTCCGATCCTTTTTTGTTATTCGCCACTTGGATCATCTGTTCGAAATAGCTCTATGCGTTTCCGGCCCTTTGTGGTATTCGTCACTTGGTTTACCTTTTCTTCACGCGTCTCCTCTTTCGTTTTCCGATGCTTTGTGTTATTCGCCACTTGGATCAACTATTTGAAACTGCTTTCTGTGTTTCTGGACCTTAGTGGTATTCGCTATTTGGACTACCTTGTCTCCACGCGTCGTCTCTTTCGATTTCCGGTCTTTTGTGATATTCGAAACTTGGACCATCTGTTCGAAGGTACTCGCCACGTTTTCGGCCCTTTGTGGTTTCACCTCTTAGGCTATCCTTTTCGCGTTTACCGGTACTCTTGTCAGCTATCGTCGTCGTTCTCGAAGCTTCGGGGTCACGCATGCAAAGTCCAAAACGTCATCCGTAAGACATATATTTATACGGGGTGGAAGAACATAGCTCGAGTAGGTGAGCTTTTAATACCCGCTTGCTTAATTATTCGTGGTTGAGCTCTTAATACCCGCTTGCTTCATTAATCGTGGTTGAATGCATTTCATGCGTACTGTTAGCACCCCTTAGCTTATTTCAAATCCCTTTCTCGCTACCGATTTTGTCCAGTTCACACAAACCACTGGATTACCGTTTCTTTACTGTAGTGGTGCCTTGTGCCACTTAAAATTCACAAGGCTGGCGCCTGAGATTCCGTCAAAAGGCGTCAAATATTGAGCTGACGCAACAAAGAACGTTACAGTCGTTTATTTATTTATATACAATGAAAAACAGTTAAATATTAACATACTAATCAATCAGTTGACAATTTTATTTGTTGAAAAATAAAATAACTATATTATTATCATCACCAATACGGGAATATATTTATCCCACCTCATTTCTTCAGATACTGGCAACGTACTCTCAATTTCAATAATACCCAATATGTTATTATCACGAATATGCTACCAAGCCTTTTCATACTATTTCAAGTAAACATAAATATTTAGGAGTTGTCGTACTGAAAACCCTTAGTACTTACTGCCTGAGAAAAACAAACATCTCGCCTGTATCTCACATTGCATACCCTTTGTGCCGCTTTAGGATCTTCCTGCACTCTGAATACAGAGTGTGTCAACCTGGCTGTTTTTAGGAGTCCATCCATTGCTTGCCTCAACTTCCTCATACTCGGTCTCAACTCGGCAGACCAGTCGCTTATTTTGTTCAAATCTAAGCCATCGGTGAATTTGTTACCTGAAATGTTAATGGACTAGCAATTTGAACTCATTTTCGTCACACTGGGGTTACTCTAGTTTTTTCTGGATGAGACTGGATGGGATATATAATTTTGAATGAGTTGTAGGGAAGTTAACCAAGTTGTATCAAAGATGCAATATATGAAAAAGTATATAAACGAGGCAAGGGATATTACTTGAGGCTACCTACGAAAACTAATGAAACTATATTGAAGCTCAGAAAAAAACATTTTTGGCTGTAAAAGCAGATATCTGACAGCAAATAATTGATTACAACATCAGTATTCAATATAACAGGAATACATAATGTAGTACCACAAGATCAATTTCCTGAACCTTAGGAAAAGCTTGACTTCTCAGTAACTCTGCTTTTTGCCGTCTGACTCCACAACTGACATAATCTCTTCACCCAACTGTACTATGATGTACTTTGGGGCAATAAAATGTATTGTTATTATTTCATTTATATTTTTTCTCGCTGCTTAAGTGAAAAAAATGCAAGAGAGTTATTCAATACAACATGATGTTGAATTATTTTGGATCCCCAAAATAAACCCAGAACTCTGCAATATTGGTAAGTGGCTTCGTGATAATGGATTCAAATTGAATATGAAGAATTCCAAATTCAAATCAATAAGTATTGAAACACTCCATAACAGAAGGGATACTAAAGACTTGAAGATATTTTTTGAAATAATTAATGCCTATTGTTCCTCATTGCTATCCAAGATCCGACTTTGAGTGTCTTTATACAGAAACAGAAGTTAATAATCGGACATAACACTCAAAAAAGTGGCAAACGATAGACACGTGTTACGGGCTCTTGGTCCATCATCAGTATGGTGCAGCCAAGTGTAAGGATTGACAACACTTGGTTACCAAAGGACCGCAGTTGTCGGTTGATTTGTCAAACCACCAACACTGACATAAAAACTTGGCAAGTTGACTTGGGTGTCACACTTTAGTGAAGTGGGTCTTGAATCTGTTAATAAATAAATAAATACGTATTGAATAAATCAGTAAATATTCCATAAGTTTTAATTTTTTTCTGAAGACTACATTCTAAAGATTGCTCACCATTTCTCACAACTTTATTCACTGCTTTCGACACGGCCTCTGCTTCCTTATTGATAATATTTCCCCCGCTAGGCTGATCGGTTATCACGTTCCTCTTGACGTTCCGTGCGTTCTGCTTCAAGCGTACTGCAGGGCTGTTACATCTACCGCAAAGGAACTTGACTTTGCTGACCAAACACATAACGCTGGCTTCTATGTTCAGTTGGGTGATGTCCCAAGGTTCCGGTTCGTCTGTGGGTTTGTAGTAGTTGGCAGACGGAGAGTTGCACATGACATTGGTGTCGAGGAATCGGCGACCGGTGTCAGGTTCTAGAGATCTAGGCTCTGTATTATTCGTGTTGCTGGTGAGGCTACTTGGTTCAGTGATTTCTGAAGAATTCTATGACAAAAAAATGCTTATACTTTGATGAACAATGATTAATGAGTATGTGATAAATCTCTTTGTTAAATTTTCATATTGTCAGACTGTCTGTAAAGAGATGGGAATATTTTGATTTCATCATGTCATCGACAAAGCATAAATCATTTCTACCAGGGTGTACATTTTCAATGAGATTATCATAATTGAAAAATCTATACTATTATACAAAAATTACTTTTCTCACAGATATCCATGATGTTAATGTTAAGTTTAACAAAACTTTGAGGAAGACAATTTGCTCCATTTTATAATGGCATGGATATGGTAACAAAGCATTTTGGAAATAGAACAGAAATATCATGCAAGAAGGAAGGACTAAAGACATATACACAATTGTTGAAATCCTTAATAGATCTAATCTAGAAGTTGTGAATCATGAGTCAAATTTTTTAAAACAATTATATAAACCTATGTTGAGGTTAAATGGACTGATTTATTTTATTTATACATGTAAATAAATTCTTAACTGCTTTGTAGAATCGTATGTCCTGTCTACGTGTAAGCGTTCTATGTATTGTTCCATTTTTACTTCAATTAATTTACTGTAAATGGACTGATTTATTTTTTTATACATGTAAATCAATTCTTAACTGCTTTGTAGAATGGTATGTTCTGTTTACATGTAAGCGTTCCATGTATTGTTCCATTTTTACTTCAATTAATTTACTGTAAATTGACTGATTTATTTTATTCATTTATGCTTTGTCAATAAGATTTTCGTCTTCATTATTTTCAACGAATACAAAAAAAAACGAGATTGAGGAAAGACATTCATAGAATATTTTTGAAAATGGAGTTCAGTTCTGTTTCTAAATAAATTCAACAACTGAACCAAATTAATATTCATTCTTGAATGATAGAGAATTTTTTTACTCTATACATCGATGCTGTTCACTTTTTCCAAATTTTATTTTCTTGCCTCTTTTCAGATTATTTACTGTATAATGTCGTTAAGCGACAATTTTTCTCAGCAAATTCAAATTGAACCAAAGCCCTACCGAAACAACCCGACAAACTAACCAGGCATTTGGCAATGATAGTGTCAATGAACGCACTGTTCGCCGTTGGTTTGCGAAATTTAGTTCCTGAGATTTTAGCATCGAAGACGAGCCCCGAAGTGGTGGACCACCAGTAATCCAAGACGAGTTTTTGCGGTTTTTGATAGTTCAAAACGTATTGGAAAGGTAAAAAAAGCTGTAAAAGTGGGTGCCCCAAGATTTGAATGATCAACAGAAATTATCACGTTGCTTTAGTTTTAGTGCAACGAAAACGATCCTCTACAGGAGACGTTTAGGACAATGCTTGGACACCGATGAACCATTCAGGCACATTCCAAAGACGAAAACCCACCAAAAAATGACTATGGTTACTGTATGATGATCAGCGACTGGTGTGATTCGTTATAACTTTTTGAAACTGGGTCAAACCATCACAGTAAATTCCAATTGTGAGGAAATCAATGAAATGTACCAAAAATTGATTCAGCAGCAGTCGACATTGGTCAACAGAAGACGTCCGATTCTGCTCCATGACAACGCCCGTCAGAACGTTTCACAAATAGCCGTCTGAAAATCAAACGAATTGAGCGATGAGCGTAGAAGTTCTGCTTTACCCACCATACTGTCCAGACCTCTCGCCAACCCACTACCTTCTTTTCAAGCACTTCGATAACTTTCTCATCGATAGAATCTCCGCCAGGCAAAAACGGCTTTCGTCGACTTCATCGAATCCCGAGCAAGCAATTTTCATGCTGACGGAATTAATCGATTTGTGTTTTGTTGGCAAAATTGCACTGATTCAAATGGCGCTTATTTCGATTGAATTGATTAAGTATTCACTGAGTCACTACAATTTAAAGTAGGCTCATAAAAACGGACAAAACTTCTGAAACAACCTGAACCTCCTCCTGAATTATGATAAAATTTTGAGTTGTATTCATTGTTTACTTTGTCTGTGACGTCCACTGACAGGTTAAACGATTTTTGTTTGACAAAACCAGCAGAAATGTTAACAAAGGCCTATGAGTAAAACGAACGACGGTTCACAAGTGTTGTAAGCGTTTCCAAGACCTACATCCATCAATTTATTGTTTCCAATATCTCTGTAAAGACGTTGAAGATGACGAACGTACCGGATGCTCCAGTACATCAACAACTGATAAAAATGCAGAAAAAGTAAAAGAAACGGTTATGAACGATCTCCGAATCACAATCAGAAAAGTCGCTGACGATTGACGTGAAGCAATCTGAAAAAAAAAAGTTGAATTTCCGGAAAAACAACTTTTGGCTTTTTGCACCACGATAATGTCCCTGCTGACACTTCTTGCTCGTTCGTGAATTTCTGACCAAAAACAATACTTTAAGGATGCACCGGCATCCATATCCGCCATACATGACTCCGTGTGACATTTACATGTTTCCAAAAATAAAGAGTCTTAAAGGGCCGTAATTTTACATTGATGCCATTAAGAATGCATTTCTGAAAGAGCTATAGACTATCCCGAAAATCGAGTTTGAGAAGTACTTCAAGAATTGGAAGAAGTGCTAATGGGGACTATTTTGAAGGTATATCAATCAATACATTTTTGCTGCGAATCTGAACTCCTTGAGGGGTACAATATCTTTGATATCATCGGAAAAATGATTGCATATTTTACAATTTGTGGAGAATATTTAACAGTTACTGAAAATTAATAAACATATGAAAATTTGTATTTTGTTTGGTCTCCCTACTTTGTGAACTATCAATACGGTTATTATCTCGACTCTGATTGGACACCTTCCAGATATCTTCCACATTCATGGGAGTACACGGAGTTGCGAAATCTTCCAGATCCGGACTCTTCAAATCCAGTGATGTGAGTTGCTGTGTGATTCGTTTGAACGGAGATAAAATCAAACTCGGTCGGCCGCCACTTTCCAAACTTAAGTCTTCCCCAACACCCGAATCCTCGTTCACAATTAGTTTGTACTGTTCGATGAAATTCAAGGCTTCCTCGACCAAGCCCGGGTCCCAAAGACTCAGAAGGATTCTGGTTTTACTGATCATATCCTCGCAGATTGGTAACATTCCGTTGGTTTGTTTTTCTTTGGCCAGTCGCATCAGGGTTTTACCAAAAAAATATATTTTTTTCTCAAGAATTTCATCTCAGCTTTCGATGTACTCAAAAATTACATTATATAATTGTATAATCCAACCCCATTTTGATTATTGTGTTAGTCTTTTATACTCATTTGACCAAAATAATAATAAAAATAATCGGCTTTATTCATCAACATAATAATATATAAAACAAAAATAATGATGAAAGGCGAAGTTCAGCTTAAGCTGTTTTTCAACTTAACCTAGTTAAAAAGACAATTATAAAAGCATATTTGAAAGTTATACAAACAATTGAAAAATAAATGATAAAATAGTAGACAGAAAAACAAAAAATAAACTGCAATAACATACCACAAAAGAGAGCATTAACGGTATCCAATTGAACTATCTAGCTGATTTCAAGTGCAGTTTCTGTTTTTTCTTGAAGTTATATAAAGTCTAGTGTCTGAAGTCACTGGGAAGGGCATTGTAAAGGACAACTGAATTATATAAAAAACTTGGAGTGAAACATGCTGTATAAGGTATCGGCTTTATAAAAGTTACAGAATCGTGGAATGAGGATTATTTTACAAGTGAATAGGTATTCCAGTATATCAAACATGTTAAGTACATTGCAGTGGCTGTCTGTTTCCCAGAGACTGTATGAGTGAGCAATGATATTCATTTTGAAACTAACACATATATATATATATATAAAACTTAATTTGACTTCTTTTTACACATAAATTAAGTTAATTTACAATTATTGAAACTTATTGTAAATGCTTACGTAACCTCCTCAAAACTTCCACTTTATTTTTTCAACCTCGCCATTTGTAACGTTTACATGAACGCCCAAAACGTTCCATAATCCATTCCATCTGACTTTACGTCAGTGGAACGCACTACAAGATGTCTTGGCCGGCCATGATGAGGTCAAGATTTTTAATTTAATCTTTCTAGTTATTAGATTTGATGAAACTAACAAAAACATACCTGTATAGCATCATTGGCCATAGAAATTTTCGTTGTGATCTGATAATTTGAGCTAGATTTACTCGGCGATTCTTTCAATTGCTGAACTAATCTGAAAAAGACATATAAACAATTACTATCGATGACGCTTTTTTTAATATAACTCACCTAATCAAACCACCATTCTTCGACTTGTGGGAATGAGCTGTGAAAGCTCCCACGGTGATCCAATCATAAAAACCGGATTTGTTGAGGGTATCATTGTGCACCCACATCCTTTGCAGGTGCAGGTTTATCGGAGCGAACTCTAAACTCCTGTCGCCTTTGCGAGAACTGGCTTTGAAGAGACTGCCCTTGTGCGCTAGCAAATTTTCCTTGGCTTGTGAATATAGTCGAAGCAGGTGCAAGTGACGATCCAATAATTCTACTTGTCGTGAGTGCCAAGGTTCTCTGAGTTCCCCCATCCCAGCGACCTCTTGTAGTAGTTCTTTTTCCTGCAGAATCCATATATCGCTGGAAGAATTGATAGAAGATTGGTCAGATTGCGATTACAATAACTTCTATGGTCACTAGTTCATCAATAGTTACTAGTGTAGGGTCACTAGTGTAGGGTCTTCCACTAATGATTTCTGAACTTTGACAATTGATAACGGCCGTCTTGTTGAAGCTACATCTCTCAAATTAGTTGTCATTTAATCAGTCTGTTTTGCCAAATCACCATGGACGGATTGTTTTATCAAAATTGGTGTTTTGTTCGTTGTATTTATTTGAATTCAAAGAAAAGAAGCGCTTAATAAAAGACCTTTGAGTTCGGGTTGAACCGCGTCTTCTGTATTCAACGTTTCGGCTCCCATTTTGTAGCCATTTTCAAGAATTTGATGTGACTTGACGCCGGGGCCTCAATATGGCTACTCCCCAGGTCTCGTCGCCAGTTTTCTCTAATCTCAATCTGCCTACTCCTTAGATTGAACTGTGGTGTCGATGGGTGTTGGCCAACAATCAAATTTCCACATTCCTTCGTTCTCCAAAGGACACAATTATCAATGAATCCCAGGGTATATATGAAATTTCATGCTCCGAGTGCTATAGAACATATGTAGGTCAGACTAACAGACGTGTGACAAGTAGAGTATACGAACATCAACTTGCTGTGCGAAAGTCAGACCCATCCTCAGCCTTATCAAAACATCATCAAGAGACAGGACACAACAGAGACTTGACCATCACTAAGACCATCGCCACAGCGAAAACACCCTAAGCTCGGATAATTCGCGTGGCCATCATAATCGAAAAGCGACCTTTCTGCCTGAACAAACGTGATGAGGGTCAAAGACTTCCAACTGCCTGGAAACCCCTAATTTCCCGAGGCTCACCCCCCGCCAAGACCTCCGGTGATCGTAGTAACCCGAAGCCCCGCCCCCACCTTTCCGCTTCAGTAGCTTCCGTGTCAGTGTCATCATCTCGCGATGTCATTTTCGGGATACCTCAGGGAAGTGTTTTGGGACCTATGTTAGTTTTAATCTACCTGAATGATTTAGATACCATCCATGGTTGTGATTTCACGAACCTTTTTGCAAACGACACTTTGTTATCAATTTCAGGAGATAATATAGAAACAGTAGCTGATCAAATGAATAATGAACTAAGAAATGTTTTCAAGTACATGAATCGCAATTTGATATTAACGTCAATTTCTGAAATACGAATTAATTAACATATCCGTTAACTTCTAAATAAGTATTCTGTTTTTTATTTATAATCTCTATATACCCATTCGTCGTCGACTGTGTCTCCCAAATACTCACTTATAGAGTAGTACGCTGTTTTTAATAAGATATTTTTGAGTACTATTTTGAATTTATTCAAAAGAAGACCTTTGTAGCAGTTTGGTGAATGATTAAACAGGGTTATTGCCATGTATTTTGGGCAACGTTTTGTTTTTTGGAGACGGTGATTCGGCACTTCCAGGATTGCTGCTTTTCTTGTGTGATATCTACTGCTTCCTAGCGCTCTGAATGGGGCCAACTCTGTTTTGGCATATATCAGTATATGCATGACATACAAATAATGGAAAGTCAGGATTTTCAGCTGTACAAATATATTCTTACAGCTTACTCTCCTGGCCACTCTAACTATATTTCTAGCTGCTCTTTTCTGGAGTTTGAGTACCCTATCGGCCTCCTGTGATACTCCTTATACTATAATTCCATATGTCATTACTGACTGAAAGTGTGCAAAATATATTATCATCAATATAGATTTTTCGACGGTCTTCCTGAGTTGGTACAGGAGATAAGACTTTGGAGCTAGTTTTTTGTACACTTCATTTATATGGGTAGTCCATGTACAGTGTTCATTTACATACAGCCCAAGGAACTTCGTGGAAGGTGTTTGAGTGATAGTTCTGCTGTTAGATTTTAACAACAAGCTGTGGTCGAGTTTATTATTTGATTGACTGAATCTTATGAACGTTGTCTTATCCATGTTCAAAACTAATCCATTTGAAGAGAACCATTCCTCAGATATTTTGATTTCTTCATTGGTCTTCAAGACTGTTTGCTCTATATTGCTTCCTGTAGCTATGAGGGAGGTGTCGTCTGCATACATTGTACAATTTTCATTAGAAATGTCATTCACGTATATAAGATATAACAGGGGACCTAAAACAGAACCCTGGGGAACCCCTACATCATTTATTGTTTTCAGTGAAATGTGATTGTTTGCTTGAACATACTGCATCCTGTTTGTCAGATAACTTTTTAGCCAATCATGTACCACTCCTCTGAAACCGTACAGTTCTAATTTTGTTAAAAGAATTTCATGGTTGACAAAATCGAATGCCTACAGTCATACAGGTTGTTTACTAAACGTGTTATTCATTATGCGTTTTTTAAATGGAATACCCTATATATTCGGTTTCCTTGAAAAAAGTTGTTTTAAAAAATATAGGGCTATTTGTGTTTATACCAAGTCCTGGACTGAATGATTAGGCCAGCTCACCTCAAAGAAAACGAAACAACTTTTTTATACAATCACTAAATGAAACAAACACATTCATATGATCAGTGGCATATCTTTTCGTCCATATATTACATTTTGATTCAATGCTGGAAAAATAGGTGACGAAATCAACTCAAACTTGCCCTATATTATGCTTGACACTGTCTAATTTATCAATTTTTTCTGTAACCCTCCAAAAATTATCTGTTAATATAGGCCATACATTTTTATGGCTGATAAAAAATGTTATCGACTCATATTAACAATAAAATGTTTCAAAGATGTTACATAAACTGCTTTCAAACAATATTGTATTTCGATACCCTGTTTCAAGAGAGTTTTTGAAAAAGAGATTTCAGGAAATACGGAGTATGAAGTACAAGAAGTAAACAAAACGCTGAAGAAAGAGAATAAAAGTTAGCTATGATGTCGTGAACTGTAAAGCAACAAGGGAAATTGTAATTGTATCACTTCGTATAAATCTAAATAACCTTATAAAGGAAAATTGCAATTGTATCACCCAGTGTAAACCCAAACAATCTTATAATCTAAAGATCAACTCTTTATAGGGTTTTGATTTTAAAACACAATTTTGATAAATCACACGTTTATCGAACAGGCCGGCAATTTTTGATTATCTAGTAGTCTGGATAGAGTTTGCGGAGTTCAAAGAAAAAAATCCTGATATTACTTTTATTATTATTATCATTATTATTGAATCAGACGTGAAAAAAAAATAACAAACCAAGTTTAAAATTGACGTTTCAATTATTATATCAAAAATAATCATTTCAATCAGACTCCATCAAATAAATGACTAATTTTCCAGGACTACTTCAAGAATACAAATAATAATCCTCTAACGGTATCTTCATTGTAAATCACGTTAATAACAACGAAGTTAAATAACTAATGTATATATTCATTATTCAAACGGCGACAGACGGAGTAGAGAAAACAATAAAAATAAAAGTAACTGTACATTCAGGACCATCTCCGTTACCTGCAAAAAAGTGTCGAACGATTAAACATGTAAGCAAAAGTCATAACATAGTATGTGTTTGTTTTCTATAAGGATAACAGCTACGATGCACAAATGGTTCTTGTTATTATTGTTTTTAATTCACACCATTCAGGTAGTATATTCAGGTAACATAAGTATATATATTATGTACACATATTTTACAGTTTAACATTTGAAATTTGATATTTTTAATTCTTTAGACATTAACAATCTATATCTTTACAAATTTTGATAGATTAGTTAACTTGCTCATGCATAAGGTTATACCTTTCATTAACAACAAACCGATCTATTTGCTGAATTAGATTGAATAATTGTTACTGTAATTTTATATATTTTTGATAGCAAAATAAATCTCTAATCAAAAAAAAAAAAATTAAAAATT